TATTGCGGACGTCATGCCCATCGCTAGTATAAAGCACTGGGAACCCCCTGCCAAACCGAAACACAAAGGTCGTTTGGTGTTGCGGGGGACGCGGTGAAGGACAGTTGGGGTGGCGCTGCGCAGTTTGGTGAGTTGTTTTCCACGCCGACGAACATTCAGGCCATCAACCTAGCAATTTTCTATGGGCTCCTAGCCGGCAATTGCCTCAGGGCAGCAGATTGTACGAAGGCTTACTTGCAGGCAGAACTTTTGACAGAAGAAGAAACTTATGTAACTTTGCCGCAAGAACTGTGACTTCCACAGTGGCCCTCTTCACTCAAGGTGCCTTCATTCACATATGGTGCAACTACACTTTTGAATAGGTTGATGGCCTCTTGCGCGTAATCGGTCGTGACAAATACGCACTTACCTTGAAAGGGAAGAGGTGAGATCTGCCAATGAACTTGTCAAGCTCTTCTACTTCGTCAAGCTCGATTCTCTCCCTCAGCCTTGCCCAAAAATTGTTTTGATGCTGTTGTGGACCAGACACTAGGATGTCGTCAACATAGACCACAACTAGCAAACTTGTCTTTTTTCGAAAAAGACCGATGGGTGTCCTTCAACCTGAATCAAGCGCGCGCCTGCCATCAAAACCTGCCGAAGATGAAGGTCCCAATAGGCGGAGGCCAAGGGATGACCGTAAAGCGCCCCTTTCAAAACGAAGGACAGGTCTCCCCAAAGGCTTCCAGTGTATTTATGAAACTGCTGCAGCTTTGCCCCTCTCGCGCGGCCTGATTTGGCCTATGGGATTTCCATGTTGGCCGTTCAAGTGTCTAAGTGGAGCCGAAACGCTGACCGTCAGCTTTTTCGCTTGGTGTCTTACCTGGACAGCGCTAAGGAACTTTGCTTGACTTCACAAGTGTGCGATCCACCAGAACTGCGCATTAAACCTCTACGTTGACGCAGATCTAGGGGGATGCGTTTTCGCGGCCAAATCCACCACAGGAGTGTTTCTTGTGACTCAAGGACCCAAGGGTACCTTTGCTCCTGTTACTTGGTTCTCGCGAAGACAGCAACATGTGGCACGCTCAACTGCTGACGCTGAACTCAATGCTTTGTCAGAAGGCCTGTATGAGGAAGCCTTACCTGTACTAATTAATGCTTTTAGAGCTGTGGCGCAAGCAATAAGAGAGAAGACAATAGCGCGGTGGCGCAAGCAATTCGTAAGTGGTATAGTCACAAGTTGCGCCACTGGGCTCGCACGCCTAAGCTGTCCCTTGCAGCGCTCAACCACGCTTGCAACACAGTGTTGACTAAAGCGCTAGCTCCAGCTAAATTCAGCCGACAGTCGTTGGGCCCTAGCATCTGGGCTGCTGCAGCGTTACAGGCTGAAAGGTCCTAAACTCAAGGTTTCAGGCCCAAAAAGGTGTGTCACCAGCGCTTGCGCGGGTCACACCTAGGAAGTTTTCGTTGCGGCTGGCTTCTTGCACTTCACTGTGTTCTGATGACGCTTTGGGCAGCTGGATGCAGCTTGACTAGATTTGCGCTGGCTGCTGTCTCCTCTGAGTTTCACTTTCACTTAGACTGCATTCTTCAGTGGCAACGCTTCTTGGAAGGATATTTTCTCGAAAGGCTGCTTACGCAACCCTGGCCGGGGGGGTTGCATGAGCGGCTGGTGAAGATGCGCCTCTCTCAATGCTCCTTCCACGGGGGGACGTTCGTTGCCAGACCACTCGGCAAAGCACCCTATGCCAAAGCCAATGACCGACGCATTGGCTCAAGTGTCAGAAAAGGGGCGGCCTTTCAGATGCCGCTAAAATGCCAATACTCTCAGCAAGCCGGCCATTGGCTTAGTAGTACATTAAGAATTACTATTTCTAATTGTATTACGGAAAAACTTTGCACGGCTGAGGACCCTTAAAGCTAATTTATTATTGAGGATCAGGGGCCTTCCTGGTCTACTACCTTGGACAATTGTTTAGGAGCAATCTTTACATAAAGGATTGATTAAGGAGTTGATGGCCTTGGGAAACATCAGTAGGCCAGTCATAAAGTTAGTTTTCGCAGGTCTCCGAAGCTTCGGAGTTGAAACCCTAATGAGGATCCCAAACAAATTTAGCATAATAGAGGACTCTTAAAACAAACATGATGGGCCATTTTGGCATTATAGAAGATCCTTTTACTAATCAGGATCCAACATTAAGGTGGATTCTTGGAACTCATGGTTGGTTCGAAGCCTTTTGCTCATAGTTCTGGGGTTCCTTCGTGTGGAAACAATTCCACTTGTTTGGAAGAGTTCGCACTCCAACAAGCACGCCACTACAAGCACGCCAGTTGATGGTTTTTATTTGCACTTATTCGTTTTCCATTCCAGTGTCCCTTCAATAATAGACTACCTTCGGCACATGCTAGTGGTAGGTGTGACTTCATATTGATTTGGCTCAACTCATTCCTTCATTGCCTACTAGAAAAACAATTGCAAGTGTCACAAAGAATGAATGGTTGACTAAGAGAATCAAAGACATTGCTGCATACCTGCTAGCATGATCTGTGACTTGAGAACAGGTTCAACAAGAAATGAACGCTTGGAGGCGCTGATGCCTTGCGTTGTCCGGTTTGATTAAAATGCCTTATGTAGATGGACTAAGTGACTAAGTACATATATATGTTCGTGTCTCTTTGCCGGAATGGGTTGGAATGCAGCCAGCTTTTCACATTTGCAGGGGCGGCGAGTCCTGGAACAGCAAGCAGAAGAGCAGAATGTGAGGAAGTATCATGAGCAGGCTGTGGGCTTTCAATATGGAAAGAAAATTTCGATGAGAGAGTCGGAGGTACACAAAGTCAAGACATGAATGGAGATTCCAGGTTGTTGCCTTCGGGTTCCCTGCTTTGTGCTTGTGTTGGTGATAGGTGTTCGGTTCGTTTGTCGCACTTTCATCGGGGGATCGCCTGTCCCGACTGGGTGGCTGGTCTGCAAAGAGCGATGGCCTCCAACCTAAAAGCGATGGTCTTGACTATCTCTCTGGAAGTCTTAAGACTTTTCTTCCCAAAGGTAAGGATTTCATTCGTCACACGCTGCACCCCACAAACCAATTCGTCTTATTCTACTTTTGTTTTGCTACAACTTCCGCCCGCTGGCCCTGCCGGTGTGTGGCTTATCGAGGTTCTTGTGTGGACCTCATCGAGTTGATTTGGTTGAAGTAGGTAGTGTTCATCCCATCCAAGAGATCTGAAAGCGGAGGGGTGCACTACTAGGAACAAGTGCATCGCTACTAGGAGCAAGGACGCTACAAGTAGCTCCTGGCATTACAAATAGGAACAAGAAGCTACTAGGAACAGGTGCATCGGTACTAGGAACTAGGGGTGCACACCTCATTCTTCAGGCGCAGGACTTCCGCTTCCAGATGCTGCAAGAGGCTGCGCGCAGGCCACTGAAGTGGTGGGAAACTGCCGCCACCCACGAGCTGAATGCTGAAAAAGCCGAAACCGGTAGTTTCTTCAAACCTGGAAATCACTAACAGTCTTGCTTTTGTTTAGCTTTATGAACAACTTGCAGCCACAGACTGAGGCTGTAAACAAATAAAATTCTCTCATATTTATATTATACCTCCTGGATACGTAGGGCCCTGATTTGCCTAAAATCATACTAAAATTTGAATGTTTTGTTCCTTCGAATTTTTTCGAAAAAGATTGTGGCAGGTTCTGAAATGTTCCGTAGGAAGTACCGCCGCAGGTTTTCGATGAGGTTCTAGAGTAGGTTCCAAGGGCGGTTCTGGAGGCTCAAATGACCTGTTTGTGAACCCATCACGCCATAGAAAGTGCAATGCAAGCTTGCAATTTCCAGCAAAAGCTGTCAATGTGCTGTCAATGACTGTACGAACTTCGAAGGCAGCTGATCTTGCAAGAGCGGGACAAGTCAAGGAGTCGCCGCGCAATGGCAGAGGCTGTCGCCAAGGAGCATGGAGTGGATGCTTTTCTGATTGCAAGCGCACTCCGAAGAATAGCAATTACAAGACCATGAGACACCACAAGGCTTACGCCTTGAAGCCTGGGCTCACAAGTTGTTTGGTGATTTTAGTGTTAATGGTAGGGTGGAGGATTGCTCTTTGTACTTGCTGATGGGCGCATTCGTGCTGCAGGAGAATTTGCAGCTCAAGGCGGAGAAGATTGAGCAAACAAAGGCAAGGCTTTTGTAGTCCCATTGAAGTTTTTACCACAGTGTAGCCTTTGCACCCGGACATGTTCACAGTACTTGCAGAAGCTCCACGAGCTCTACACCAACAAGTTTTCAGATGACTTCTGGGCGCAGTTTGGGACAACTACCCGCTAGGATGCCACGACCCCAGGGTTCGGGAACTTGCCAATTGGCAAACTAATCAGCTTTTGCCCATGCCAAGGTGTTCCAGTTGCAAAATGGCAAGGGCAAGTTCAGTGGTGGCTTCATGTAAAAGACATCAGCACAAACCCTTTTGTGATCAGCGAATCGCTTGCTTGGAGCCTTCAGCCCTGTGATGATTTGCATTGCAGATTGTCACTGTCTCACCACAGCACTTTCACAGACTTTCACCATGGCCACTCACAAAATTACCCAGCATATCATAGCTTCGATTGTGGTCATATGTGGATCCCATTAGAATAATACAAGTCTGCAAACATTGGAAGCACACACTGTTGATATCGAGTATTTTGCACGATCGCGGTCGCCCGAAAGGGCAGAGTCTCCGTGCAGCCCGGAAAAGGAAGGAGCGGGCAATCAAGACTTGAAGGGTGGTGGAGACCATGTGTTGAAGGCGTTGAGAGCACGCTTTCTTGCTTCCTGCATGATAGCTTTTGTTCATGCCGCCGTTTTGTGTAGACCAAATCTCATGACATCATTGACAAATGCCAATCCAAAGTGTTTGGCTACTTGCAGAGTACTCGGCTTTCCAATGAACAACAAGTCCTGAAAACGATTGTGTTCAACACAAGCCGTCATCATCCTCTACTGACAGAAATTGGAAGAGAAGCACGTCAAACTCACAGACACATGGAATGAAGTAACCGAAGTGATGGAGAGCTCACATGGTGTGAGAAAGAACGAGTTTGACGTGTGGTGCGGTGGTTTCGCCTTGCTCCGAGTACCGGCTCAACTTCACATGTCTCACTTAGTTATACATTCAGCTTGCAGTACCTAAGAGAAAAGCGTGTGTAGTCTATTCTTTCACAACCTTTGAAATGCCGATGAGGTTGGTGGCCACCATGCCGCAGACGCCGCACAGGACCATCTAGCAGAGACTTAATTCCGAGCTGTAACGAGACTATGGTTGGATTTGCAGAAGTAGTGACAGGACGATCTCCACACAGCGGGCCCTTGACAGGCCTTCAGGGATGTTGTTTTTGATAGCAGCTTGCCACGTGCTTGCACATCAGCTGCAATGTGTTCTGAGTACAGGCCAGACATTGGTGCTACCACCCTCCAGCGTGAACATGCTTTGTACGGACCCAAGGATTCAGCCGAATATGCTGTTTGTTCTTCAGCTTACACGCTGAGATGGGGAACAAAGTCGGAAAGAAGAATGGCACTCTTTGTTGCCAAGAACAAGTGGGATAAGACTTGCTCAAGGAATTACTCCTAGATGTTGGCTTGTCCAGTATCAACTCTCCAAGGCCTTTGATGGGTGAAAATGCAGAGAGTGTGTGGCAGCCTTGAGTGTGGAATGGTGCATTATTTGGTTGGAGTGAACAGCTGTCTCCTCATCATTCCAAACGACAAGGAAAAGAGCTGTGGTTCCTGATGCGATTGGCGTGCGGGGGGCTTGAATTTGCGGGAAATCTTTAGGTTTGGATTTGCTGTGCTTTGGGTTGTGGGTTGGAAACACAGACAGACCGGAAACGGCCTCAAATGTACGATGCTATATGCGCCATGACTACGCCCTTTTGATGCATGGTTGGCATGGTCTTCTCAAACTAAGGACATTGGGTTTACAATTGCAAGAGACTGTTGGGACCCCAGATCATGAAGGTGAAGGAAGGAACGGGTATGTTGATCGAGTGGTTTCGAGAAAGACTGTTTGAAGCCATGCTTGTAGTGCGGTGGAAGGGGCATGGAAGAGGTGGTTGTGTTGCAGCTTTGTCCATCTTGAGGCGGACATGGCAGCCTATCAGATCCTGAAACCCTTGTTCTTGACGGACCTGCCTTTGCCATGGGAGGCTCAAGAGATCCCAAGAGGGCTCTTACAAAAGTACCCTGGAGCTGAGTTGAATGAATCAATCTTTTGTCAGCACCCGTCCCCTCAAAGAACTTGAACGCTCTTGTTGTTCCGCAAGTCCAGTTACTCGAGAGTGTCACCAGCTGTCCTTGGCTTGAACAAGTTGGTTCCGATTGGGAGATTGGCCACTTAAGAGACAATTCCCTGCAGGTGCGCCGCCGTGAACATGGACGGTATGACTTCTACCATGCGGCTGTACGGGAGGCCCTTCTCAGTGACTTTGTCAAGCTGTCAAGAAAGTTATGTTTTGTTGTAGAACGTTCTGATGCGGCGGTGACCTTGGAACTGTACATGTGGAAAGGCAAGAAGGCCAATCTAATCATTACGTTGACACCCATGCATACGTTCATGTTGACATTCAGCAGCGGCTGTCAGTATCGTCAAGAGCATCCAATGCTGGGCTTCTTCAAAGATGTCTTGGAGTTTCTCCGCACCAATGTCGTCAAGACATGTTTGAAACGCACATAGCGACCCATGGACCATGCACATGGATGCAATGCAAAAAGGAAAAAGGGAAGGCAAAGGGCCCTTATCTTCCTTTGTTCGATGTTTGTCTTTTTACAATCCTCAAGAACGGGCAGTTTGAAGTCTTTTGACATTTACCAGTTTGGTGGGTCATTCGCCATCTTCCACCGAGCGTTTGAAGTCGCTTCGCCAGGCAAAGACAGGTATCCCCATGGACGAGCTTTTAGAGGCCCAGGCTGGGATGTTGTTACGCATGTGAACCAACCTAATAGCGATGGCCTCCAACCAGCTTCTTGCTCCTGGTAGCGATGCCCTTTGTTACTAGTAGCTTCTTGTTCCTAGTAGTAAGGCCAGGAGTGCACCTAGTAGCGTCCCTGCTCCTACTAGCGATGGCCCCCAACCTACTAGGATTCTTGTCAAAATGTGTGACTGGAAAGTAATGGAAAGTCTATGCCCATAGTTCTTAGCAGTTGCTCATGTGTTCGTTCGCCAGGTGTTTAAGGAGGCAAGCCCTGAAGTTGTGCGTTACCGCCTGGGCATTTGGGAAGGCCCAGTAGAGGCCAGGAAACTGTTAAACTGTTGAACGCTTCTTTGTTTTCTTCGTCATCTTCTTCATCATCTCCTTTTTCTCCTTTCAATAAGATCATGTTGGTCTTGGCAGGACTCTTCAGGCAGCCTGGTCTTTGTGCGCCAATGGCTTGGTCGTGATGATGCGACCATCTCAGTGGAATCACCAGAGATACAGGATGATTCAGGGAACCTCAAATATGCACTGACTTTGTCAACTTTGTTGAGGCTTGTGTCAAAACTGACCAGCGCTATGACGATCCGCGTTTCGAGGCTTTGCCGCCATGCCTATGAATACACTAGCCTTGTTTTTACACTTGTGTTCAGGATTTGGAAAGACAGCTTTTGTTGATGCAGGCTGCGGCAAACATCTCCTTCCGGCTAGGTGGTTGGATGCACCTTTGGAGGGGCTTTGTTGGCCAGGACAAGCACAGAGTTTCTTCAAAGAGAGATAGCACGGATTTTGAATTGGAGCACAGTGTCAGTCTCACGCAAACCTGGGACACACAAGAATTAGACCCAGAAGTAGTTCTTCTTGAAGGCTCCAGATTGACAACCCTTCGCCGCAGAATCCTGCAAGACACTTGTGTCATTTCACACGATTGTTTTTCTCCCAAAAACTTCTCCTTTGGTGGACTGTGAAAGTCAGGAACCATTTCCTTTTCTAGAGGGCCGCTTGGGCGCGCTTTGCCAACAGCTTGGCGAGTCTGTGGCAAGCCCAGGGAAGCAAAGACCAAGAGCGAAATACACGTGCTTTCCGCATCGAAAAGCCAACACTACTCACTACTCCAGCTATTTCTTATCAATTTGCACTTGTACACTGTATTTACATCTATAGACTGGGCTAACCCCCTGGTTCCGCAGACCCCTTTTTCATGCCTTCACTTGAGCCAATTGCCTTTGTTCGAGGGGAGTGTTGTTTAAAAGCCTCCAGCAACCCCGCCAGCCTCTCACTAGCCGAGAGGCGGGGTTGGCGGGAGGCCGCAGTCCTATGACTGCTTGTCTGAAAGATTAAGCCATGCACGTCTCAATATTTATATGGTGAAACTGCGACAAGTCTATCTTGTCGAAACTGGGGACAAAACGATATCAGTTCTGGGGCATGATTGCTGGTTGAAGCCTAACAGCTGAGCCCAGCGTACCAAGAAGGGTGCCAGATGGCAGTTTCGATACCCACTGAAAGAGGTACGTATGGGCATGCTTCCCTGGTTCACGTCCGGGTGTGCCATCTGCACTTTCATGATGGCTTGAAGTGAAGGAGGAGGCGCAGTGATCAATTCTGTTGGTGTGGGTGGTGCTGCAAGACATATTTATTATATATATATATATATGTATATACATATGTATTTATTAGGCGCGTGGCTAAACAAGGCGGTGGGATGAGGTGGCGGGGGTATATTAAGTGAGTAGGTGAGTAACCCAGAGCCCTGAAAAAAAACTTTAGCACGATTTTTCTTCCAAGTCTTCTTATGGCAGCACACAGCCTCCAGCAGAATAGCTGGGCCCAAAAGCGTGTCAAGGTTGAAATCTCCACTATCCCAAACATCGCCCACCTAGGCATAGGATAGGCCAGGGTCGGCGGACAAAAATAGTTTTGTTTGCATTGAAAAATGTGCCGTTGTTCTTGTCCCTGTGCCTTTGTTCAGGTCGTGACCGCTCCAGGCATGGCAACTACCCAGATGATTGCTCGGTGGCTCAAACTCATGCAGTGCCGCACGATGTGGTCAACACAAACCGAACTGGTTCAGTCGTGCTGGCAAGGCCCACATGGAACAACTTTTGCCGCGACTGGTGGTTGCCTCAATGATTTTTCGGGATTGTTCAGGTACAGTAGTTGGTCGTAGTATGTGTTGCTGTCTTGATTCAGGAGCCACCTGAGCCACCGCCAGAGCCAGAGAAGTGGGTGATGACATCGGAGGAGGAGGCTCGCAGTATCTCTTTCCGTTTGTGAGAAAAGTATCCAGAAATGCAGAGATGGATAAAGATGGTGCCAGCGTTTTGGTGTGGTTCATCCATTCTTGGGAAAGGTCCACAGAACTTTGTATTGGATTAGATGATGCAGCTGTATGCTGTGAAGGCCATGCAGCCACTAGTCACCGACATTCTGGCAAAGGCCTGCAGCGTGAGACAGGGGTCAAATGGTAAAGGTGCCAAGAATTCGTGGAACTGAAATACAGTCATTAGTCTGCCGATCGGAACATCATTGCCGATGAACGTGTGATACTGACATGTACGCCTTGGGTCAGGCGTACAGTTCCGCTATCTCTGAAGCAGCGCGAAGGGAGAAGCAGGCGCTGTGTCTTTGACCTTTCTGTCGAGCGCAATTGAGACATACACCATTCGGAGCTGAATTTTGATAAAGTTGGAAGTGGTCGAGCCTGCAAGACTTCAGGCAATGATGCATGACGGACGGCTAGCGGGTGATTCTGCCTGAAACTCAATTGCTTTACGTGTTCATTTCTGTGCCTTGTTCTATGTTTTGCATTACCAACTTGCAGTATGAACTAGTATGAACAATACGGATGAATAAAAAACGGTTCAGCACATTCCACATTTGCTTTAGTGTTTGCACGCCCCATGTGTAGATTTCACATCGAAAAGGATAGGGGACATCCAAAACGATACTCCCAAATTTCCCTGCAGTCTTTGCTGCTAGTGATTGGACATCGGACGCCGTACTTTGAATCCATGCACTCGACATAGAACATTTTCACCGTGGCTACATCATAATGATGGTATTTGCTTCCGAAAGCACAAGACTTGTGGAGATTGAGTTGGAGCTGTGTACCACTGGATTGCCTACTAATAACCACTCTCCAGGCTATATGTGGCACTACTGACTGAGCAAGTCTGCACAAGTGTTCAAGAGAGATCCCATTTGCCAAGCTTTGGTGTCAAATTTTGATATGTGCCGAGCAGACACTTAGTTTCCAATGAAAAGTGAAAATTGTAAATATGTATATATTACATGCTTCTGTAGCTAAGAGAGAGGGAGAGTTGTTGCCAGACTTGTCGGCAGCAAGAGCCACCAGTTCCAATACTTTGAGGACTTTCCTTACCTTGTCAGATACATTTTCCTGTAGAGTCGCATGACTGAGGACCGCTTTGCAGCTCGCGTCACCTGCAAATTGATATACCAGGCTTCGCAGCGCCTGGTGGTTCCAGCCTCAGGTTCCTGATTCATGCACCTCACTTCCTCCAAATCAGGACCTCACTATATATATACCTCTGTTTGTTTCAGCGCAGAGTCTCAGCCAAGGCGGACCTAGAACATCAAGACTGGGCAGCTCTGCACTTCCCACCAGAAGAGGAAGAGGTGCTGCATAGACAACACGTCAGCCAGTTGCCAACTGGGATGGGATGGGCAGGAGCATGAGTATTCCGATGACTTGGCAGAGGATCCTTTCGAGGAGGATGATGAAGAGGCACTTCTGTTTGCAATATATAGCTACTGGTACTCCTCATGAAAGTGAACAAGTGAAAGTTCTGCTAGCATTTGCTAGTAGCGACAGATCTTGTTTTGCCTGCTAGGAGGATCAAACTTCCGAGGAAGCTGTGGAGGATTTGGGCGAACGACATGTTGAGGCAGATGTGTATGTAGTTTCAGGAAGTTGGATCAGCCCTTTGCTTCAGCATCATCCTTGGTGAGGATCCGGAGCAGTTGGAGGACGAAGAGGTGACGGCGGTCTACTGATAGCCTGAATTTGTTTTACTTGTAGCCGCCTTCGAAGCTCAACGAATCGACTCAGCCGCATCGCAGCTTTTCATGGCTGGATTCTTGAACGAGTCTATGTATCATGATGTATCATGACGTATCATGTCGTGTTCTCTCTTAGACTGTGACTGCCACGAATCTTTGGAGTCTTTGCAGGAATACTCTCAGCACGATCCAGAGGATGTCATAGCACTTGTGGACGATCCAGAAGTAGAAGTGGAAGAGACTGATGATGCCACTGGACTTATGTCATCGTTATTTTTAGTCTTGAGGCAATTTGGCCTGGGATAACATGTTATGATTTGATATGATTTGCACATTCCCAATCGAGAATGTTTACCCACCCGTCTCGGTGCTGTGCTTCCGTCAGGTCCGACCAGTCATCCAGGTTTGCAAGGGCTTCATCGCAAGCCTCGAATCAGTGCTGGCCTCAAGAGAGAGAAAGTGAAGTAGATTTGGTAACATGTTCAAAAATGTTCTACATGTTTTTTAAAGAACAACTTGCTGCGTTGCTCAGCTTTGGGTGTCACTGGATTTGTGCCGCTTGCAGATGATTCAAATGCAGGATCATGCTGCTTGGGCCCGCAGACAGCTGCGACCATGGACACCACCCAGCCGTCGTTCAGGACCCCGGTCACCTTCGAACATGAAGTGAACCTCAAGGTAACTGTTTTGTCGGCTATGTAAAAAAGATGCCCGAGTCGAGTATGAGTAAGTAGTTTTGGCAAGTGTGGCGTAGAAGACAAACACACGGATTTTCTCATTCACCCTATCTGCTTGTCCGTCGCTGTTGATTGTTTGGACTTGCGTTCCTATTTGGGTTGATGTGCTTGTACCAGAACGACACTTTTTTTGACATCCTTCAAATCCGGAGCGGATATGCAAAGTAACCTGACCACTCTTTGTCTCTAGTCTCATCTGATCCCATCGGCACCTAGTACCAAGGTCAAAGCACAGAGGAAGCTGCGTCACCCAAGGCTTTGTGGCCAGATTCTCCCAAGGTCGAGACACATAGGCGAGAGTCGCATCGGGTGGGAGAGGTTTGCAAAGAATGTAACATAGTAATATGTAAGTCACGACTGTGGGAGAAGTGCCCTGCACAGGTTTTGTCAAGACTTTAGAGCGTTTAGTTGAACGAACACAGGCCTCGTTTGGGCCGCAAACAGCCTGACACCAAGACAACTGGTCGCGAATTTGTGCCGTTCAGAATTAAATAGAGATGTTTGCTGGTTGCTGAGTTTCATTATTTTGCTGGTTTGTTTGTTGCTCCGAGTTTGCTTTGTGCATTCACCTTGGGGATGGAGCAAACAGGCGAGTTTGGCGCCAGACAGGCTTCCAGGAGGAAGGTGCGAGCTGTGATGTCGATGTAAATGGAACGTTTTCGCTGCTGTTGGTGCAGCTATCAGCATCAGATTTGATATTGACCTTAGGTTGTATATGAAAGGTCCATGCAATGGGTGCATCGATTTGGCGGACAGAAAACACAGTTGGTTTGAATTGAACGGCACACCTACCCTATCGCTTTGCGAAGAGGGAACTGTGACGTCTCCTTGCAATTCAATGTATTGTGATGTGATAGCCATATTCATGCTCATCGATTTCATTTTCAGCCGGTTTTCTCATCGCGCGTTTGAGCCATCTTTGCACAGTTCATTGATTGGTCCTAGACCGGATGGGACCTTATTATTACAAGCGACTATATATACATATATATATATATATGATTATACATACATTCTTTTGGAAGTGGTGACTTGGTGGAAGATATGGAACACCTCAAAGCCATACAAGAACGCCACATGGCTGTGGGTCAAAACCCCGAGCCCTAATCCCTGGTAGGTTGACCTCCCTAGTGGTTTGTTCTGTTCACCCAGTGCCTTCCGGTTTTTGCCCACAGCTATATCCCCTTCGATGCCCGTCAAGCTAGAGCTATAGTTCCCGCGAAAGCCTTGACCACTCAACACATGTCGTGCTCTCATTGGACTTTGCTCATGTCATGGCACACCAATACCATGTGAGAGAACATCTCAGCACCCAATCACTTGATGAGGTTCTTAAGTTTCCTTCCACTTGTGTTGGTTCTTTAGTTTTCATCATGTTTTTGCCAATGGGCCTAGAACCGGCACGTGCAGTAAAGCAGTTTTTGTGTGTGGTCATTTCTTGTTACTTTGCTCTCGTGGGGATGGGTGGGGGCTGGGGACAGTGACGTTCTTGTCTTAAATTCATGCTTAAACAAAAGTTTTCATGGAGCAAGTTGTTCAGAAATTCTATTTTGGATTGCAGGACATGACGGGACATTTTTTGAGGTTTGTGTGTTTTTGTCGTTAGTTCTTTTGTTACGTTTGTCCAGTTGGAAGTGCCCTTCCCCGAACGGTTTTTGCGGGACTTTCTCGTGGCAGATCCCTTTTTCTTAGAACACACTCTGACACTTGTATTCAGTTAACTCAGCTACCACGGTGGGAAGGATGGCGGTGGAACAGCAAGGTGAAATGTCCAGGCATTTGAAGGTGTTTGAACATAATTGTTTCAATCGCATGACTGCAGCGGCAAACTCAAAGTCAGCGGAAAGCGGCTGAAGGAAGCTGGTTTTGGGGACTAGCATGTGAAACCACCATGAATCAAATCGTAAGTGGAAAAGCTTGAGCAACAGTTTCTGGTGCAGGTACGTCAGCAAGCGTCCTTGCTGATATCCTCAGGACACTGCAGAGAGCTTTGTTAAGTGGAGCTCTGCAGGCCTGCTCCACTCCCCTGCCTGTAGAAGGTGGTTGAAAAAGGTGGTTGAAAAGCTGTGGAAGGAGTAGCGGTGGAAAACCCTTTGTCCAGGGGTGGACACACACAGGTCGCCGGCTTCGGCGCTTTTCCAGCGCGCATGTGAGAAAACTAAATAGTCACCTAAAAAGCCTTAGAAACAAAAGGAAAGAAAGACAGAAAGAGCAGCGCTAAGAGGGGGAGAAAGAAAGATAGGTGTAGTTACGAGGCCCACTAGTTACAAAACCTTCTAGTTACTGACTACCTAGCACTCTAGTTACTGAATACTTAGCCCTTGACTTGAGGGAACGGAAAGAAGTGCTGGGTCCGAACAACAGAAGGTTTCAACAAGAATTAGTTACTGACTACTTAGCAGGTCTTAATTAGGTGCAATAGTTAGGGAGCGGGACTTTAGTCTTAGACCGCCCGGGTAGGAAAGACTAGAAAAGGAACAACACAGGGAAAGGCACCGACACACAAGTGTGTCGAGTACCATTTCCCTATGTTGCCCCAAATAGGTAGGGAGTAGAACTCAGCGGGGGGGGGGGGGGGGGGG